AATTACGGTCTTCGCCGGTCCCCGGTCTTAGGAATCTTTCATTTTGATTTGGAACAGCTGAACATCATGCAAATAACAATCATAAAATTATGGGGTGCTATGCATGCATCGATTACGTCAATCTGATTATGAGAACTGTGACAGAATCGTCCACAATGGCAATCCTCAAGCAAAACAATGCAAGAAAGCAGGGTCGACTGACTCGAGTAATGACAACATCAAATGAATGAGGGAAGAATAAGAACTCATAATAATCTCAGAAAATACATATAAGCAAGCATGGTCAGCACCTCTGCTCAGTCTCTCTCAATCTCTCATTTCACTGATCATCTCTGGTGCTGTGACCCACGTCCATGTACAATCTGAGATTGAGGCCTCGTGACAAAGAACCACCTGAAACCAGCAAGCTCTGAACATGACCATCCAAGGTACATGACACGAAAGTTAACCATAGAGCAGAACTCCTCCCACAACGTAGGCAACCCGTCCACTGAGAAGACTCCTCGCCTAAGGTATGGATACTCGGTCGGCTCTGTTAGTGCCTCAATGTCGATCATCGCCGGAGAGATATACCTCTTTGCCAAGCCAACCATATCATGCCAGCCAGTGCCATCTGTGAGAAGGGAAGGGACAGGAGGCTTAGGATAGTCCATATAAAGCTTGGGCCCAAAGCTGCGAATCAGTTTGGTGTCACTCTCATCGATTTCTCTCTCCCTCTGCTCAAGATATCTCGTGGCAGAGATCCACACAGCGTCAAAATGCTCATGAGTCTCTTTACCCTTCTTTAGATAGGGCCTCAGATCGTGGATAGTGCCATCAGCAAAACTGGTATGGACAACGAAGATTGACAGATCTCCTTGTTTAAACCCAACGGCACTAGCATACTGATAGCGGAAGGCCTCCTTGCATGAAATCTGATTGAGACTGGCCAGCACTGACTCGCTGACTCGAAAGGACTCAACTGTACTCATGGGAAAGGAGAATGACTCTTGCTATCTGCTGATTGCTGCTGATCCGACTCTTGATTTGATTGCTAAACTGAGAGTCGTCTCTGAATGCTGTTTCTGAGACGCCGTTTTCAGAACGTAGATTGACAGTCGCAAATTGTTGACCGAAAACTGAATATTACTGATCAAGTGCTGATTGAGAAAACTGAATTGACTGCGGTCCGTCTACCGTCAATAGGCTGCTTGAGCGCTGTTTTAATGATGTGTCTAAATGCTGCTTGAATGCCCTTTTGAGTGTCGTTCTGAATGTCGTTTCTGGTTGCAGTTCCAGATTGTTGTTTCGAACGTGTCTGAATGCTGAATCTGGGCGTGTTTGGATGACGTGTCTGAATTATGCCTTGAGTGCTAAATACTGCTCAGAGTATTACTTTGAATACAGTCCTGTGTTCCGAGTACAGCCCTGAATTCCCTTGCTGAGCACTGTCTTGAGTACCAAATATTGCTCTGACTGTTGTTATGAGCACTGTCTGAGTATTGTTTGAGTTTCATCTGAGTTTCACCTGAGTTTCTCCTGAGTTTCATCTGAGTTTCATCTAAGCCGAGAGACCCCTGTGGGCTGATCGTGCAGTGGAGAAGCGTTGGCAAGGAGCAACAGATTATTAAAGAGCTTTGAACTACTGAGATGTAAGTAATATTCTCAGGGTGAAGCCTCCGACACTCTATGCCAGTTCAAGTTTAGTTTTGGCYTGCTCCACTGACTCTAGCATGGAACAGGGACTGTGGAGTTTGTTGTCAGGCCCATAAAAATAGGTTACGTATTCGATGTACTTCTTCTCCCCCGCCATCCCAACTACATGCTCTCTCTCCATTCGCCTGTGGGATTCCATGTCTCTACACGCTTCTTCTTCCCATCCCTCTTTCTTTTCTCTGACTAGTGTGCTTTTCACCACCTGGATCTCACTGTCCTTCATGTTTTGCCTCCCTCCCTTTTCTTTCTTTTTTTTTTTCTTTTCTTTTTCAGATCTCACAGCAGTAAGCCCCAAGTTCTAGATAGATAAACACAGATATAAAGCAGCTCAAAAGCCACCTCGGTGGTGTTTGGTAGCTGTAAGGTCACCGTTTGCCCGCTACCTAACGGCTATTTATCGCAGTCTGAATGTTACTGACCGCTAGTCGTTTTTTCGACCGCCAGTTTGACAACAGATTGACTGCTGATTAGAAGACTGATTAACCCCAGACCAAAGAATTGATTGACTGTTGCAGCTCAATGGCCACATAATGACAGGTGCGGCTTTTATTCTGCTGGAATCTAACATCTCAGATACCGATAAAATATTGATAGAGCACTGATTGATCGCCGCCCAAACACTAACTGAAAAACTGATTGTATGCTATTCGATCACTGACTGAGCACTGGATAAGAGTTGATAGTCGAGGTACCTTCCGATGAGAACATTGTTAAAATGGTAATAACTTCCAATGAAATGTCAGAGGCTAAATGCAAGGCTCTTTCCCAACTGTCACCAGCTTGAGGCTCTGGAAACTGAGTATCGGCCTTATATGCAATTTTCTGGCCCTTAATCCCTTAGTAGCATGGTGCCAGTGGGTCTACAAATCACTGAATTGCTAGTCGAGATACCAACACCACTGTTTAGCTCCAAAGTCCAGACCAAAACACTGAGGAGATGTCCTTACTACTCAACTCCCTACTGAGTTTTATTACACCGGGACCAAAAACATGCTCTCAAATGGGCCCCTTCTTTGTCTAACAAACTCCTGGCACACTAAGTAAGGGTTGTTCTCGGCAGTGTGACCAGAATGCGAATCCACTCATGCCCGAGTCCACCGGTGCTGTCAATATGGAAGTCACTTAGAGAATGGTTGTTTACCAGTCACCCCGAAGTCTGCAGGAATCACGAGTAATTTACAGGATGTTGTCTTTCTCTATCCACCCTTCGTGAGAACACTCCCTGAAACGACAGCGCCGCATAATAATCCCCTCAGCGTCTTAACGTGGAGTAAAAGTACTCCGTCAGATCGCTCCTTCTGAGTAGAGTGTCGAACGCAGCTATCACAAGCCGTGTTCGGTCTCTACCCAGGTTGCTATTGAGCACGACCCCTGCCCGATTAGCACCCTACATCTCTAATATTGAGCGTAGGTCGCCCACTGTATTGGGACATCTCCAGCAGTGGTTTTGGTTGCTACTTAGGTCTGGGTGACTGTGATCTTATGACTCCGAACTCGAAAATCAAATAGCCCTTGTCCAGACAACTAATTGCCGCAAACGTGACCAAAGGTCGATCACACTGGCTGGTTTTGTATGTCAAACATAAATGACACACAGAARAAGTAAGGTGCACACTCCAATCGATTCCGTTTTCTGAGCAGCTCACACAGATAGGGAAATGGTGCGATAGGCATTAGTCAATCTCCATCAAGCAAAAACTTAACTAGAATGAAAGAGACTTTCCACGGCATTGCCGTCCTTTTCCCCATCCATTTAAGCAAGACAAGATCATGGAATGTAGCCAGAGCTACCGCAATAATCCTTTGTACAGACAAGTTCAACTTCGAGTCCAAACATGGGACTAGATATTCAAACAGTCGCCAACATACTTTCATCAGACCTGCGGACATGCATGATCACACGTTGCTCCGTTCACGCGGGTACACGCAAGTTTGCTTGATTTTACACTGAACTAAATACTGATCACAACTACCTCCCAAGATTATTGACAGGCATGCAATCCGATGTACTCATGTAAACCCACGCGTTCTCGCCCTCGTGTGGCCGTGAGAAAGGAGAAAGAAAAGTCAAAATCCAGGCTACTCGTGTGATCCCCACCCTCACAGTGTTCAAGCAATATGGTGAAAAGGGGGTAGATCAAGCTCAACCAGCCATCTTACGAGGTTTGCTACACAGATGTACTGTACAAAAAGGTGGGACCGTAGCCGAGTTTTCCCGTCCCTCTTTCGATTAAAACTGCACGAAACCCATTTGGTCGCTTAAAGCCACACACACTCACACAGTGTACCCGTGTTTACTTTTTAATCACTGCTAGCTCCGGCGTGAGACTCGGGTGATCACGCCAGCCTTAGTTTCTCCTAATAGAGTGACGTGATCACCCTGGCGACAATTGATGGAGAAGCAGGGTAAGTTCACTTGCTGATGGTGAAACCTTCACGAGTTAAAACAACATTATTGAACCGAATGTCAACCGCATTTTCTCTCGGGGTCTATCCTGGCATGAACAATGCCTATTATAAGAACCGAATCTGGGAACAGATCGAGCTGAGGCAAATGCTCGTAGTTCCGAACTTCGGCTGAAGATCGGCTGAACAACAAAAAGGAACTACTTAGTAAAAACTACTTGTAACTACGTCACATAGTTGTTACCTCTCAAAAGAAACAGTTAGTGATGGCTGCAGTCGTGCGGTCTCAAGACGACTCCGCATTTCACAATCATCTCTCGTTTTTCTTAAACTGATAGCTTCGTAACTTCACGCTCCGATCACCTGAGACTCATCACAACACTCATCTCGCCATAATATTACAGGTGACGTCTACTGTACTCAACCAGCCCGTGTCCTTCCCGCTCGCCCAGTCTCTTTCTTTCATTGACCCCCCCTTAAGCTCTCCCTGGCTGCCACGTGTAGCACGTGCACCACGCGGTCCCGATCACTCACTTCTCTCGTGCACTTGCACCGTAACTACTTAGCGAGTGAGCGAGAAGCGCTTCGGAACCGGGCCGCTCTGGCGAAATGCGCAGAAAGATAAAGTGACTGATCACTCGCCGAGTCGCCGAGTGCCAAAAAAAAGAATCTCCTGAGGCAGGTCACTCTGGCGCGACATTAAAACTCGTCGCGGCTCTACAGACACTAGATGCCTTGAGCGAGAGACGGGGCAGTGGTTGACGTCAAACATATCTAACGAGATTGTGCGCCGTTCACCGCACCGCTTCACTGTTCGTTGACCTCTCAATCCCTCGCTCTCTCACTCGGTCCATATCTCTTTCTTGAAAGCAGGTACATATTAGTTTCCACCGCACGAGTACATCTGCAGAGCTTTGTTTTGCTTGCCACTTCTCTGTCGCATACTAGCTTCGCGTAGCCCTTGTTGAGCTCGACCACGTCGCTGTGGGTTCGTGCCGATGATGTCACCGAAGTCACTGCAGCCACTTCTCATCACTCGAAGGCATGGGGCCAGAGCAGATGACGCCAACTCACAACCTTTTCCTCGCCAGGCACCTTCTCTCTCTCTCTCTCTCTCTTACACCGCTTACGTGTATTTACGCGTCCCTTGGAGTTGTCTCTCCCTCACGACCCTCTCACTGTGGCCTATTGTACACGTGTAAAACCCTCCTTACCTTCCTCCGGGTTGACATCATCAACTTCTGCGTACCCGCGTTGACCTCTGTTCGCTCTCCCAGCACATCGCTCGCGTCTTCTTAGGCCTCTCTTTTCCCCCTGCACTGCCTCTCATCCGTTCCACGGCCTCTGGGCGTCAGCTGTCGTGAGTTGGCCTCAGGTCCCTCTTCCACCGGCTTCGCGGCCTGGTGATGCCTCTGGATCTCGCTTGGTCTATTCCAGGACCTGAGATCTGTCTCCCGGTCTCCCGCTTTGCTCATTTCACTCTCACCTCCTGAATCCCTGTCCACGTGGGCCTGTTCCTGGTCCGCTGTGTCCATTGAGGTCTCGGTCTCATCATATGAGACTGTTACGTGCAACCTTGCAGTCACTCCGTCCATCCTGCAACGCTTCTCCGCACGGTCCTTAGCCTCCGTGATCGCATCCTGCAATTTCCCATCAGTCTGCATCTCCACCTCTTTCACCCCTTCCACGTTAATTTTCATTCTCACTTCATCACCCCCATCATAATTGAGCATTCTTGTGATCTAGGGCCCTTCCCCAGACATAGGCTTCCATCGGGCCTGATGGTACCAGTAACCAGGCCAATAGCCGTGCAGCGCCATAGTCGCTCTTAGAATAGACAGAGTCTTGGCCCTAGGCACAAACTATCGACATCCGCTGAACCCCTGCTCCTCCGTCCCCTTCACCTCGGTTGATTTTCACACCACGAAGCAGTCCGCCAGCACCCTCTTGTTCAGCCACTGGATAGATAAGCCTCGACCCTCTTCCCCCTTTTTATAGGATCAGTTGTATGCCGTGACCCCAACGTTCTAAATGAGGTACCCTTTGAGACTCCGCTCATCAGTAACCTGGCCATATAACTAAATAAAAGGAATAAAACAACAAAATAGAAACAAATCAAAAATTAAAATAGCGAAGTCCCAACAACCACCGGCGACTACAGACTTTCTGCTATCGGCCACTGTCGCTTCGCCTCGCCGCGAAGTGACTGCAACCTTGAAGCGGTGGTCCCATAACGGGATACCAGCTTGCGCACTTCCACTTCCAAAACTCGCCATCGACCCGTTACTGTTGGGTACCCGTGTCTGATGGCAAGGAGGGGGTTTATGACCCTCTATAGGGGGTGATATTCCTTCTACCGATGCGGTTGCGAGTCGCCCCTCTTTTGGAGTCCTCCCGCTCAACGTCCAGCTAGGCAAGCCCAGCACAAGTGGTTTACGAGGGGTCACTCCAGCCTAGGCCGTCAGGCATTATTTGTAACTCATGAGAAGCGAACCGTCAGCTTTCCGCAGTATGACAGGTCAAAAGAAAACCCGAGCCTTATACTCGCATAAAAAGAAAACTGAATAATAATGTCGATATTAACAATAATAGTAATAATAATCGCAGAAAGGGAAAGGGTGGCTTTTCATAATCTCTCCATACGGCAGCCTCGCCTGAACAACGTCCCACGTTCACGCACAAATCTAAAACCCGATTTTTGACATTTTCCCTTCCTTCTTTCCTTTTCATACTTTCCCCTTTTCAGACCTCACTGTATCTACCCCTTAATATGTCTACCGGGGTCCTACCGCGCGGAGCTCAGACGAGCAGGTCCAGTACAGATGACATGCAAGGGGTCGGGCCAGCCTAGGCTATAAACCACCGCCCAAACTCGAAGCCCGAACCGTTGGCTTCCACACGATGCGACGGGGTTCGAAAGTGAACTCGAGTATGAAAATAAGAAAAATAATAATAATTTAAATTAATGGCATAAATAAAAGTGGGACATGAATAAAATCACAACGCTGCGTCGATCAGAAGTCACTAGATCGACCGTGACCCAAAGTACCTGGTTTTTTTCCTTTTTCTTTTTCCCTTCTTTTGCCCCTCTTCTTTTCGGCTGTCACAGCGGGCCTATGTACCCGACCCATAACTTAGGAGAAGGGAACACGGCGCGCAGTAGAAAAGACTGCGTCGGTCCCCTTACCCTTGCGTCCCAGGGCAGACATGGCGGCTACCACAGTTACAGGCCGGTTGTGCTCTGCTGTACAGCAGGGCGCCGAGCCTGCGTGGACCAAAGGAAGGTCCTATGGTGCACCCCTTTTGTTGAGGACAACATCACAGGGACTGGTCCGCGCCGAGACACAACCTGAATACCAAGAACAGCAGAGGCCCAGGGCACGTCTATAGGCCGAAGCATCGGAGCGAGGACAGGTATCAAGCAAGGAGGGTCGGGATACCGCGCCCTCCGACATAATACCAAACCCCCACCCAACGTCCCCGCTGGGTCAAAACGTATCACACTCCCAGTATAAGACCAACACGAGCAAACACCACTTTTATTCATTCCTATTAGCAACTCGCTGTGAGACCCACACTGTGGCCCTGCGCAGCTAGCCTTCCGTGTTACTTTCAGCGCTCACCCTCTCCTTCATCGCTCTCGCTGATCCTTCCTTTTCCCTGCGTTCACCTATCTTCTTCCCCACTAGCCACCTCTCTCTCGCATCGTTTACCTTCCTTTTCAACATTCGCTTTCCTTTCCTGTGTCCGTCTTTCTTTTCTATGATCGTCCCTCTTTTCTGCGCTCGTCTTATTTTTTCTCTTCTTCTTTTTCTACGATCGCCCTTTCCTCTAGCGCTCGTTCCCGCTCTTCTAATCTAGTCTTCTCTCTTCACGCCAGTTCCTCTTTCTCTGCGTTAGCCTTTTCTCTCAAAGCTCATTCTTTTTGTTTTAAGTTGTAGTCCTCCATACCCTGCACAGCTATTCCCTACACTCTCTTTAATAGTCCCTTACTTCCTGATTTTCTAATCCATCTCGTCATCGTGAGCCTCGCTTACATAGTCTCGTTCTTGTCATAGCCCTTAGTGCTATATCACCTACCCCTGATCTTGTCCCTTGACGGCCATTCATTCTGCATCATGCTTGAGGGGCGCCGTGGACAGGGTAGAGGAAGGGGAGGAAGAGGAGGGAAGGCAAAAGAAGAACCACCAACATCGGCACAGCGGGATTATAGCTAAGAGGAGGAGGAAGAGGAGAAGTCAAGAGGCTACGGCCGCCCAAGGCCATACCCCTGCTATTCGCTAGCAGGGTGGTACGAGAGGACCCCATCTTCTGCAAGGATGGAGCGCCTCCGTAAAAAGTTTGATGCGTGCTACGGTACACCTAGCGCGTCTTCACCTCCTTACATCCCTAGAGCTCCTTTCACCCCTGCTGTAAGCAAGGCCATAGTGCCTGCCTCACCTTCCTCTATGCCATGCACTGTCTAGTCACCTCATCACCCTAATCACTGCATCCTCTTCAGCATCTTCTTCCTTGTCTTTCTTTTCCAGCTCGAGCTCATGGTCATCTTTTATATCTTATATAAGCGTGATTTCTTCTCAGCTTTCTGAGTCAGATTTCGGCTCACAAAATTTCGTGTTCACTGTTCACTTCATAGCATCCCAGGCCTGAGAGTTTGGCTCCTTTTAGGGCCAGGGATGTAGGTTCCTCGTGAACCAGGCCGCTCGTCGGCCACCAAATAAAATTCGAAGGAGGATTTTGTCTGCTTGTTTGATTGGTTCAATTGCTGGTGTTTCGTATGAAGGCTACCTTAGCTCTTGATCAGGCGTCAATGCCAGGGATGACCCTAGTAACGAGGGTACTCACTCTATCTGCCATGCTGGAAATAGGGCATACCAAACCGTCTTTTCTGTTCTCTGGCCTGAGTGAGACGTCTTCTCAGCTTCTCAAGCACCTGATGGGGATACCAAACCCTCGTTTTCTTTCTCTGATCTGAGTGGGGCGTCTCCTCAACTTCTAAGATAAAAGGGAGGGGATACCAAACCTTGTTTCTTGTCTCTGGTTTGGGAACTTGAGATAAGTATTTGTATACCTGCAAAATCAGCAAGTCCCACAGACAACAACCATGCCCCAGCAAGCAGACCCTCTTACAACCAGCAACCAGACATTAACAAATTAAAATAAAAACCATAAATAAAATAATAAATAATAAATAATAAATTTTAAACAATACATAACAACTCTTCATACCCAAGATTTATTGATTACCTCGGTTTCGGCCTACTACTGGCCAGGAATGTCGGACGTCCCGTTAGTCTGACATACCTCATTCGGCCCGCCTAAGGCCAGGACTAGGCGGACCATTTGTCTTGACAGCCCCTTTGACCTGCCTCCAGGTCAGGACCAATCATACCCACTACTTGAGTATGACACCCCTTTGGCACTCTCGCCAGGACACCCAGACTATTGTCGGTCTGGACACCCTATGACAGCAGACGTCCCGTCAGTCAAATTGTCCCGAATCCGGTTTTGACCACTGCTGCGGTCAGGGACCGGCTCACCTACCAGTTTTTGGCCAAGGGCGCTGGCTGCCCGCCCAGAACGTGGGACCCGGTCTAACCACAGTTCCAGGCTTCGGCTAACCTCACTGGATTGCATCCTCTGACTGCGGTAGGGTTCCAGCTGACCCCTTTCGACTTAATAGGTCAGACTCCCGGATCCTTAGCCTCAGCCGATTATGGAATTCGACACTCACGTCGGGGACCTGCTGACCCCACCAGATTGCAACCTACTGCGGTAAGGCTCTGGCTGGCCTCGACAATCACTGCATCCTTAGGCTAGAGAAGAAAACTCCCAGGCACAGACAATCAGGCAAGCATATCATGACCCACAAGCAGACTGCCCACGCCTCATAACAGGACAAACATTTCTCAAGAGACATCCCTTCAGTCTCAAGAGGTACTGAACAACAACATATTATCCAACACTAAGAGTTTGCAAGAGACCTCCCTTCAGCCTTAAGCAAAGAACTTAGTGCTAGCCCCAGAGAGGTCCCTTCCCTCAACTGGGATTTCTATTCCAAGAGACGTCCCGTCAGTCTCAAGGGAATACTAAAACACTGATCTCAGAGAGGTCCCTTCTCTCATCTGAGTGAAGACTGACCCTTAGCGAAAGACACAAAGTCCCTCTACTTACCACTCTCAAGTCAAGTAAAGCTGAACTTCTTTATGTCTGCCTTCATCTGAATTTTCTTAGATTGACATTTTAATCAGAGACACGAAGTTCTTCTGCTGATAACTCTTTGTCAGGTAGAACTAAACTTCTTCATGCCCACCATGCTCTTCTCTTTACTTTAGGGCAGTACTGATCATACCTTTTGATGCTTCTCAAATCTTTAACACTGTGTAAATACTTACGAAACTGATTTTACAGTTATTCCCCACTCTCAGGGACTTGACACTCATGGAACGGTTGTAGCACTGCATCAAAAGACCTGACTTAGTCATTTGCTGAAATACTGAGTGAAAGGACTTGCTAAAACAGAGATACTGAAACTGAGGGGTTGAGACTAAAGACTGAAATTAAATTACCGAAACTGAGAAAATGAAATTGAACTTCTGAAACTGAAATGTTGAATCCGAAATGCTGAATTGACTATGCATGAATGATCACAGCCTCTTGAAAATTCAGTCTTGCTATCTCATTGTCTCACCGTACCTTCTCTCTTAGTTCTCTGGAACTGTTCTCTTACTTAGAGAACTGACCCCTCTTCCCTCTCCTTGAGGTTACTGTAGGAATCAAATCTGGATCTGTGAATATAAACTTACGAAGTGTAGAGCC